TAGGAAAATAATGAATAAATAAAAAATAAAGAAAGTTGACAGGAGATCTGTATTTATTGGGGTTATGGTTAAGAATTGTTCATTTTTAAGACTTTTTAGTTCGTTTAATTTAATAATTACTAAAACCAGCAGTTCCAAAAATATATTTAAAAATAATTATCTATTAACATGGATTTGGACGATAATAATAGGTAAGAATACTAAATTTATTTCTATATTCGGTATAAAATTGTTTATTAGGTTTTTAGTTTGCGATGTTTATGGTAAATAATTTTCATGTTCATTGCCTCTGAATTCACATGAGGACAGAGATGAGGATATCTATGGAAAAGTAACCACAAGAGGAATTGTTACATCATTTAAAAAATGTTGGGAAGTTGAAGTTTCCCATCGAAAAGTAGAAAATGCCAATGCAGATGAATGTATTGTAATTGTGATAGAAGTAATTCCAAGGGTGAAGTCTATTATAATTAGTGACCTGTGCTTCTTTTTATATGTAGATGTTTCAGGTTTTGAGAATAAATCGGTTGAACGAAACCCAAAATTTAGAGGAAGTATTTGCATACCCAGAATATGACCATCAAGGATTATATAGCTCAAATTTCCTTTAATGGTAGGCAATTATTCAATGCAAATTAACTTTTAAAGTGACTGAAATATTAAATAGTTTACAATATGATATATCACTGTAAAAATATATTACTTTTAGGTACAATTAGGGCCAGATACATTTCAAAAAGTAGAATATTATTTTATATTAAATGAGGTATTGTACCAACAATCAATTTATATTAATACCGCAGATTAAAAAATAACAGAATAAATAGTTCTTTCTATTATACTACAAAAATAAACTATAGAATACAACAGTATTTAAAAAAAAAAGTTATGTCCCGCCGAGATTCGAACTCCGGTCTCTCGCTTCCTAGCCCAACTCCTTACGCACTGCTCCACAGTAACTTGCTTAGCGATAATTCATTGACGGTATATAAACAAAAAAACAGGTTTATACCTTGACGATTTGAACTGGCGCGCGGAGCGTGCTGACCAATAGCGCCTGTTATCACCTGTGACGTAGCGACCAACCTGCGCAATATCATACCTTGTATTCTTTGTACCATGTGTGTTTAGTATGGTCCTTCTACCATATTCGAAATGCACTTATCTACGACGAGATGGTATACGAACTTTATTGATAGTAACTTTATTGGTGTATCTGTATAAGTACTTTCTACCTGGGCAGCGAGTAGTAACCATAAACTGTGCTCTGGGTTCTACAGTTAATTTTCTCTCGATTTTTCCTCCACTTGACTTCAAAAGACACAAAACACACGTAATAACACGAATCAAAATGCATCATCTTCCAAAACGCAGGGTATTAGACAAAAGTTGTCACAAAATTATAACCTATAATTTGGCAAGACTTTGACAAACGTCAAAAATCTAAAGGCGAGTTCATACGCATCGGCGTCCGTTGGTCGTTCATCGTTCCGTCAAACCAATAAAATTGAAATACGATCTGTCATTTTTGAAATAAACCAATAAAACTGGTTAAAACCAACAAGTGACGACGCATGACGAATTTAAATTTAAACCCGTCCATCGTTAACTTAAAAATTATTAGAAACTTTTTTTAGTAAAATAAATAGATTGGTATGGGACGTCATCTGCTTTTCTTCTGTCATCGTCTGTCGAAATCTTACCTGAGAAAAAAAAACAGAGTATACTCCTTGTGAAATCCTTTGTTCTCTTTCTGCCACTTTATATAACCTTATTCTCGCGTCCCGTGAACACTGACGTAGCTGTATAGTCGTGGTCTATAACTAGCCAAAGTATAGTCGTGGCACTCGCCATAGTTTCACAGAGATGTATTTAGGACACAATAAAATAAAATAAAAAAAATTGATCATCAAGTAAAAATTTACTTGAAAACAAAATATCTTCACATTTCGTGTAAGTAACAATAATTCTTCGGTATCTGAAAATCTTCCGATAGGAAGAAATGCGGAAAAATATATATTTAATAATAATTTTATATCATTATCTATTTCAACGATTTTCTACAAGTTTTTTTCCTCGTCCTAATTTATATCATATACTAACATATCAAATCTCGTTTTTTTTAACTGAAAAAATAAAAAAGATATGAGGGTGAGCCATTTTTGAGACGCACCCGGTATAAATGATCAATGTACGTTATAAACGTAATGTCGTTTCTCCAAAAGCAATTAATATTATTTTAATAAAACATATTGGCGGCAACTTTTTGATTGGCACCCTTCGTCAAAATTGTATTCCATGAGTCATAATATTATATGTAAAAATTAGATTTTGATTAGCTACGTGATGAGCGTAATTATCCTGTAGCCGGATCTTGTACTAATAGTCTATATTACGCATAAACTTAATCTAAACAGAATAAAATTGTTCAAATATCTGAATAAATCAGTTAAACATCAAAGTTTATGTAGAAATTCCTTTGTATGTATATACGTATATATTATGTAAATCGTCTTTTGATATTGGAGTTTATAAAATATTTGAAAAATGTCTTTGTGGAATCTAATACCAACAGTAATAAAAAATACTTCCTTTAATTTTAAATATGTTTTCATAGACATTCTCTGCCTAATTTAGTATCAAAGTAGAATGTCATAAATGATTTTAACATTAATTTTATAATAAAAATATTAAAATGTACACCAATACACATAAATAATAATTAACCAAAAATAAACTTTTGCCTGAAACATACAGGAACCTTGTTAAAATTTACACCCTGTATATTAGACAAATATTAATATAAAGATTATCATACTTATATGAACTCAAATCCAAAATATATTAAAAACAAAAATCAAACTATTATTAGATAGTTTGTAAAAAAAACAAAAATCAAACTATTATTAGATAGTTTGTAAAAAACACATTTTTATTTTATTTCGTTAATTTTCAGTAGAAATTTTGTAGAAATCAAAATATACGGGACAATGCAATTAAAAATCTAAGATAATAAATATATTTATACGCGTTTTGCGTTTTTTACCTGTAATTTTACACAAAACATAAAATATAAAAAGAAAAAAGCCCATCCCTAGTAATTACATTAAAGTTTTCTTTTTAATTGTCAAAGTCAAGGACTGCTTGATCGTATTATTTTTCCTCGTACGGAATATTTAATCCTTGCAAAAGCCAAGGAGCGTTGACAGCCGCGTCCCTCAATTGTTTTCAACAAACATTGGCGGAATTTTAACGTCATTTTAATATTTTTTCATACGAGTTAGTGTTTTTAGGTGTAAATCTTCGGGAAAATAATGTTTAAACTTTGTATTAAACCGCAATTAGTGTGATTAATGTTTTACCGTGTATTTTTTTATTCGTTGTACTGCAATTTCGCTATATTTTTTTGGCTTTTGTTGCCGGCTGAGAACTTATGAAGCAAAAACAAGTTGTGTAGGACAAGGTTTTTTAATTATGTTATGGGTATTCTTTTTAAGAATAGGTACTTCGAAAATATATCATAGTAAACTAAATCATATATTAGGAATAAATCGTGAATCGTTTTTTGGGGATAATCTCTTTATAGCTTCGTAGTCGACTCGCCTGTGGAAATTTGCTATAATAGAATTAGCCCGGGTTGTGAATATGCTACTATTTCTATTCTGTACAGGACTATCAATCGCGAATGATTACAAGAATGGAATCATAACAGGATATTGCAAATGAATGCCAGCCAGTAACTTATTTTGAATTGTGGTAAGTACCATAGACTAATATAGGTGTAAATATTATTTTTATATAAATATAATCATCACTCCAATCTCTGATGTCCATGATATTTTTTAGAGAAAAAATTATCCACAAAAATAGTTATTTGTGTTTTTGTGTAACTAGTGTAAAAAGGATATATTTGTTGCATGACGCATAAGTTTTGTTTATACAGGGCTGTTCACCACATACGACACGGAGTATTGTAGCTAAACAATTAGATTTTTGCAAATTGTAAGTTTTAGGTTCGTTGAAGGACCATTAGAGCTACAATTTAAAAATATTTTTACAAGATACAGAGTGTCCCAAATAAATAAAAAATATCAAACTCGTGTTTTTTTTAAATGGAACACTTTGTATATTATTACGTTTTTAGTTTTTCCGATTAAAATAAAGGTAAATTTGATTAAGGTTTACCGCATTTTAATCTTACCGTTTTAGAAATATTTAGGTTTTTGTCAAAATTCAGTAATAATTTTAATGCTTTTCATTTCCAAAACCAAACAGCTTCTTTAAAACCAAATATTGTACTGAAGTATTTCTATTTACTAAATTGTGTGTTGCAATAATAAAATTATACTACCTTATACAGAGTGTCTAAAAAATTATTTTAAATAATTACTAGCTTTAAACAGCAATAACTTGTTTAATTTAAATGGAACGCCCTGTATATTTTATAAGAATCAGATGGACAATTTAATTGTCTATCAAATTGTGTTATATCATTTTCTTCAAGTTTCCGTAGAAAATGTATTTTCTTATAATTTAGATCTCATTTATCAATATATCCATGGAATATTGACATTTTAGATTATTTTTAAAGATGTAACAAATTTTTAAATAGTACAGATAATAATATTGCCGATATAGTTCGTTTATTTCATTAAAAAACGGTTTTAAAAATTATATTAATTGACTGTTTGAGTTCATTAATAATAATTGCTCCAGATACAAAAAAACTGAATTTTGTGTGCGTATTAGACAGTGTGGTAAAAAGTAACACATAAAAAACTTTATTTAATTTTTTGACGAATGCTAATTTATAACACAATAGAGACGTTCATATACAAATAAATTCCAATATATCTATAGTATAATCAATAGTCCTTAAATATTCACTACAAATAAATGATTTCATAAAATATACAAGAATCTTCTGTAAAAAAGAGATAAAAAAGTAAAATCCTGATACGTGTATCAAAAATTGAATTTTCTCCGATTTGAAAACTTACCTCCGCCTCGAATACAACGGGATTTTGCGGAATGACCTCCCTTTTGCCAAGTTTTCGGCCCGAGGCCTTCCACAGGACGAAAGTCAAAAATCCCAATAGGATAACCGACTTCCCGATCATTTTTCCTGGACCCTGCGAAAATAAAATAAAGTTCGTCAATTTATTGTGAAAATAGATATAGCCAGATTTTAAGAAACGGTATGATGTTAAAAGAAATCATTTTTTTATTAAGAGATGTTTTATATAAAATTTTCCCATATAGTGACGCAAAATTACCGGTAAATAAATCGGTAATATTACGGTGACATTGGTACTTTATAAAAAATACCTAGCTTTTTAAATAATATTATTTTTTACAGTTCAAAACTGTAAGAACATTACAAAAGTAGAAGACGACTTTTTTAACGTCATCTTCTACTTCAACGTCAAACTAGTCAGAGTTAGAGTGACCTATGTTGTAGAATGTAGAATGTTTAGGAGGGGAGTTAATCACCGCAACCTTACAGATCTATTGTGTGTTCCCCTTTCTTGAGTTATAACGAGTTATAACTCATCATACAGTCTCAAGGCGTTAACAAAGAGCAGTATCTGAGACGGCTTCACAGAGGCCAGCTCTCCATCCTCGACATCAGCCGTACCAAAATTCATGACACGAACTGTCGTCGACTCGGCGCACTCAGTGATAAGGTGTTCTGGTGTTTCCCCATTTTCCCCACAGAATCTGCATTCGCCGTTATTTCTCAGCTTCAGCCTACTGAGGTGTTCGTTTAGGAGACAGTGTCCTGTTAGAAACCCCGTGACAATCCGAAAAATTGTTTTTACTTAAATCAAGGAAAATCTTTGATTTTTTTCCGTCGTAAGTTCTGGGGAACTTATGAAATCTTGCAAGTTCTTTAGTTTAGCTTTTAATTGGTTTCCGCTTGGAAAGCAGAAAGGTTCTGGCCCAGTTAGTGAAGTGTTCGCTCCTATTCTAGCTAGATCATTTTATCACGGGATGATGACAGAACAGATAGACGTACTGTAATAAATTAATTATTTACTACCATATTGAATAAACCAAGTACAAAAACAAACAATCTTGAACGAATAATATTAAATATTAATTATAAATCTAAACACAATCTATTCTTGTTCAATAATCACACCTTTATCACATTATCCTGTTAAAAAGAAATATTTCAACGCAGGATTAAGTTTGGCTCGTAACTTTTTTCATTAGGGCCCACTAAAGATTTACCGGTCCAATTCTATCGGACGTTTAATAGTTGGCAGTCATTAAGGCTTCTTCGTCGATTACTGGAACTGCCCGAGGTGCAATAAAATGTAATCTTAAGAGCCTTTCTCTGCCACTTTACCGTTACAACTACAACGGTACGATATTTGTTATCGGCCTGGAGAATTGGGCGAAACGAGAGTGTCTTTCTTTAACGATTTACTAAATTTATTTTTAAATTCTTTGAAACAAGGTTTAAACAAATAAAAGAAAGTTATATTTTTCTTACATAAAGAGAATAAAACTTTAAAAATGAATCTAACCAAAGAATCGAAATTGTACTTCTTAAAAGAATACACAACTTACTAACCTATGAGACACATATTGTAATCTAGATACAGATACAAAGAAACGGAAATATTTCTGGTTCTATTTAAAATATTATATTTTTTTTATTTTTAGCCCTATTTCCATGATTTTATTAGCAAACTGTATACAGGGTTGTTCACCACATACGACACAGAGTATTGTAGCTAAACGATTAGATTTTTGCAAATTGTAAGTTTTGGGTTCGTTGAAGGACTATTAGAGCTACAATTTAAAAATATTTTTACAAGATACAGAGTGTATCAAATAAATAAAAAATATCAAAGTTGTATTTTTTTTTAAATGGAACACCCTGTATATTATTACCTTTTTAGTTTCTGCGATTAAAATAAAGGCATATTTGATTAAGGTTTACCGCATTTTAATCTTACCGTTTTGGAAATATTTGGGTTTTTGTCAAAATACAGTAATAATTTTAATGCTTCATTTCTCTAGACGTATTTAAGTTTTCAAAACCAAATATTGTACTGAAGTATTTCTATTTTCCAAATTTAGTGTTGCAATAATCAAAATTATACTACCTTATACAGAGTGTCAAAAAAATTGTATTTTAAATAATTACTAGCTTTAAAGGGCAATAACTTGTTTAGTTTAAATGGAACACCCTGTATATTTTATGAGAATCAGATGCACAATTTAATTATCTATCAAATTGTACTATACCATTTTTTACCTATCTCTTCAAGTTTTTAAAGAAAATGTATTTTCTTATAATTTTGACCTCATTAATCAATGTACCCATGGAATTGGACATTTGAAATTATTTTTAAAGACGTAACAAATTTTTAAAGAGTACTGAAACTAATATTGTAGATATACTTCATTTATTTCATTAAAAAAATATAAAAAAATGTTTAATTAATAATAATTGCTCCAAATACTAAAATACTTAGTTTTGTATGTGTATTAGAAAATGGGGTAAAAAGTAATACCTTAAAAATTTTATTTCATTTTTTGACGAACAACAGAGACGTTCATTTTCATAACTTATTATTATATTGATTTCCGATTCAAATCCATATTTATTTAGAATAATTTATACAAACAAATAAAAGACAAACTAGTACAATTAAGTATGTAATTAATTAATATTTGGGCGGACATAAGGATGGTATATTTAATTAATGGTATTTTATTAGCACCTATACATTTTTTACATTTGTTGCTTTAGAAACAATCTAAAATGTGAATATTCCATGGGTATATTGATAAATGAGGTCTAAATTATAAGAAAATACATTTTCTACGAAAACTTGAAGGGATAGATAAAAAATGGTATAATACATTTTGATAGACAATTAAAGTGTGCATCTGTTTCTCCTAAAATATACAGGGTGTTCAATTTAAATTAAACAAGTTATTGCCGTTTAAAGCTAAAAATTATTTAAATTAAATTTTTAGACACTCTGTATGAGGTAATATTATTTTGATTATTGCAACACAATAACTGATCAATAAATAAACTTCAGTAAATATTTAGTATTAATAACTTTGATAACCTTGGAGGCCTTAAAATTTTCACTGCAATTTCACAAAATTGAAAATATTTAAAAAACGGTAAGGTTTAAGTATGATGAACCTTAATCAAACTTACCTTTTTTTAATCGTAGAAACTAAAATGTAATGATATACAGGATGTTCCATTTAAAAAAATACAACTTTGATATTTTTTATTTATTTGGGACACTCTGTATCTTGTAAAAATGTTTTTAAATTGTAGCTCTAATAGTCCCTCAATAAACCCAAAACTTACAATTTGTAAAAATCTAATGGTTTAGCTACAATAACCCGTGTCGTATGTGGTGAATAACCCTGTTTAAATTAGGGTGCACCAAAAAAACTTATTTTTTTTCTTTTTAAGATGATGAAAAAAAATGCTGGTTAAATTTAAGTTTTTAATATTAATATTAAGAGGTGCCTCGTCGTGATTTTCTATTTCCCATTTAAATAACGTGGTGAAACAAATTCTTTTTTTTTTAAATTTTATTGCGTTCTAACAAATCAGCGTTTTGTAAAAATCAATGCATATTCTTGTAGGAAATTGAACGGTCTTCAAAAAAGTTGTGATATGAATTTTCATTTACTCGACTCGTTTGAAAGTGATTCAAGGTTAAAGTTGAACTTCAAATCGTATATGATAACTTGCACAGTTTTTTATATTTTATCACGAAATATCGGCTCATAATTATATTAGTTTGTTTTTAAATTTCAAATACACAATAAAAAAAGTTAAAAATAATATCTTTAAATTGCTGACCTGGATATTAATTATTTGAGTCTTCCAATAGACTCGATCTTTCTTATACAAATAATTTAAAAAACAGAGTCGGACTTGAAATTATATTAAATAATAATTAAATAGTTTTGTTGTTGTTAAGATACCCAAAACAAAAAAAGTATAAAATGCGGCATATCACTGTACTCAGGAGACCGAGTTCTTCCAAAACCTGAAATAAAAAATGCAGGTCCGTATTAAAAAATTTGTTTTTAAATTTCAAAAAAATAAATTGGCCTCTGTACCTACCTCACAACTTATCAGATAATTTGAAAATATAAAAATACTATAAGATAGCCCTAATAATAGCAATTAGTTTTTTGATTTTCTTAAAAGTAACGACAGGAAAAAATAAAATTTAATTTCAAAAAAATCCGTTTTTTTTTCGAAAAAACTCAATCCTTAAAATTTTTGGAACTTTTTTAATGGCATCTTGGTGAACATCCCAAAGCGCAACTTTGCCCCAATTTAACGATCTTTGTATCTATTACGGTTACCGAGATACCAATGCTCGTACCTCGAATTTGTAGCACCCTGTATAGCTTATAAATATTACTTATAGGAAAAACTTATAAGAAAATGAGCAGTTGAAAACCTAATTTTGTCAATTAATATTGGTAGAGAGTAATAACTAGTAGAGAGTTGGGGGAACTGGATTAGTAAAGTTCATGTATATGATTTTTCATATTTTAATATAGAAAGTTTAAAATTCTTAGTTTACTGTTTGACAAACAGGCAATATTTTCCACGTAATACGTATCATCGTTTAATCCAACAAGGAAGCTCTCCACGAAGAAAAGGACCTGATAACAATAGTTGATAAATTAAAAAGAATTTTCCTGACATGTCCGATAAGCTGCAAGAGGGGTCTCGAGATTTCCTCGCAACAAAAGATTCTTTATTAGAAGATTTTAGAACTCGAATTTTTATATTATTAAAGTTTTGAAGGGGTTCCCGTTTTCTGATATTGCAGATTCGTTCTGATAAAACTTTGCTGGAGAAAATGTCGCGTTAATGTTTGTCGTTTCAAAGTTTCTTTGTAGTCTGGAGAACAAGAGTTTTATCACAGATAAAACTTAATGATTATAGTAGTAATAATACTAAATGCTACATAATGTTTAGAGAGATAGAGTGTAGACCAGATAGGTTTATGAAGTCTACATACACTGACCGGAAGATATTTACCGATTTATATACACCCACCCGCACAAAAAACAGGCATAATAAAATTTTCATGTGGTTTAAAGTTCAATAGAT